AAATAGGAAGGGGTGGTATCTGATAGTTGGTACCTATAAGCCTTGATCTTCTAGCTTCGCAAAGGATAGAAGGTTGACTGTTAGATTGGGGATCCAGTGGACGTAACCCACTGAGATATCCCCCCCTTCTGATTCTAGAAGGATATCACCTATCTCCTCAACCCGTCCTACGCCACCGTCCGCGGTAGTAATTTCTAAATCACCTTCGAACGACTTTGCGCGCACCAACGAGTGCCTTTCACCCGTCATATTGAAGCTTGCGCAGGTGTCGAGATACCAAGGTTTGGATGTTGTAGCGGACGACGTAGATAAAGCAATTGCTGCGTTGGCATTAGGTTGCGATGCAAGGAGATCTGACGCTCTGGTGCCAGTAGGTTTGTCGTCATCCTTGTCCTTCTTCTTATCCTTTCCCTTCTTTTTGGCACCTTCAGTGTTGTCAGTGCCCTTATTATCCTTATTCTCTTTCCTCCACCACTCGGGCGCTTTGTCAGGGTTCAGATGATAGCAATTAGCCTTTATATGCCCTGGGACCTTGCAGTATCCGCACTTTGCGGTTGCGGCGGAAGTTGTGTTGTCATTATCATTGGTGGCCGCGTTGGCCTTTGGAGCTTTAGGGCGTCCAGTACCCTCTGATTTACTCATCCGGTGAGCAATTTGTTTTGTGAGATCGTTGATATCTAGGTTGACAATCGGACCCTGACCCGTCCCGTAGAACGTATCGAGGCGTGATTTAACATAGGTCCTCTGATAATCTCGGAGGCCGATAATAAAGAAATCATGGAGGTAGTTCTCACCACGGTCCTCCGTTAGTTGTCGCATGCGAGCAGACAGGTATTGATATCGGCGTACGTACGCCAGGTAATCACCGTCCTTGACATGCAAGTGGGTAAATTCTTTAAGGATGTTAATCCTTTCTTCCCCTAGGGATATCGCGTATACTGCGCTTACCTTGTTCCATAGGGCCGCCGCGTTGTCGGGTTGAATGGATCCCATGGTCAAACGGACAGAACCTACTAGGGATTGCAACATGCGACGGAAGAGAAGTTTTGAACGTATCACCCAATATCGCTGATCGAGCGATGATAAACCTTCAGGTGGTTCCTGTTGGTTCTTATTAAGAATATTTGCACCACCGATCACTTCTGCATCCGACAAGAACGCCATCTTCCACGTCTGGTAGTTGGTGCCATCGAACGTGGTGACGGACTTTGTGTTCAACGAGGCCTGCGCTTCCTTCTGGTATTCGCGAGCCAGCATGTTCGGATCTTCTTCTGGTATAGGGTTCGGAGGAGGTGGAGGAGGTGGCGGCGCGCGTGCTGATATCAGTCGCTCGCAGAGTGCAATGAGATCTGCTGCTGCCATGGTCACCATGCCGTTAGGATTCGGCGTAGGTATCGGCATAGGACTGGGCGTGCCATCCTCGGATTCCTCGCGTTCTGGCATCTTGCCAGTATCGCGTGCGGAGCCAGAGGTTGTCATATCTTCCTCTAGCCGGTCGCGTATTCAGTTT